GGCTTGGAGTAGGTGCAGACTAGAAGAGGTCTAAAATGGGGTAAAAAGGGAACATCTCTAGTACTTTTAGCAATAAAGATACATTAAAAAAATTTTTAGTGTCATAATAAAAAAACAACCCATACCTCTGTGATCAGTTTAGAGTGGTTTATCTTTACAGACAAGATGCAATGTTTTCCTACTGTGGATTTTCTCATTCATTGGGTAGTATTCAAGGGCATTGGGACTTAGCGGCAGTGATTGGAAAACTTATTTGTAGCCCATGGAGGTGCAGCAGTTGTGGTGGAGCAGCACGGTGTCTTTAGGGCAAGATAGGAATTTCAGAATAACATGCTCTTACCAGGAATGACAGGATTTGGTTTCTCTGTAGCTAAAGGCAAATATCTGAATGAGACTTGGTGGAAAATATTCTAACTTATGGTTTTTAATTGTCTGTAGTGGTGCCAAAAGCAGACCATACCTTACTGTTGATCAGATGATGGATTTTATCAACATTAAGCAGCGGGATCCCCGGCTAAATGAAATACTTTACCCACCTTTAAAGCAAGAGCAAGTCCAAGTATTGATTGAGAAATACGAACCCAACACTAGCCTCGCCACAAAAGGTCAGTCCACTTTGTCCCTCACCATAGGGAAGCTCTGCTTTCTGCTTGTGAATGGGTCACCTGCTTTCCTTTCTGTCTTAAGTTACTGGTGGTTCAATCCAAAGTAGATTTTTTTACTTTCATATGTGATTTTTGTTGTAGTTATATATATGCATGTGACATTTTTTAGATGTCTAATCATTTGTTTTATTTTAAATTTACTCAGTGACTAAATGCTTCTTTCTCAGACAGAAAATTCACAGTCTTACAGGTTGCCCTTTAGGGTCTGTTTTTAGATGTTCTGAGAATTGATCCACAGATTTTTCTAAATCTCTAAAACTGAAAAGATTGGACCCTTATCCTATTCTAGTTTACACTATTGACAAATTTGTCCACTTGGGAAAATATTATAAAATTTTGATTTCTTTATGTAAAAAAAAATTAGTATTTATAGAAAAAAATCAGTCTAAAAACTGATATCAGGAAGAGAGATCTAAGTTGCCTGGAAATTATTAAGAAATTTATGTTTTTATTTGGAAGAAATGAATTGCCAAAGTAAGATCATGATGATTTAATTGCCAAGAATTTTCAATTATTTGTAGCATCATTGTCCCTGAAAAGGATTTCCAGCTATTTCTTTACCACTAAGCCCAAGCCTCATCTGGATTGTGATATCTTCACTGAGAGAATGGGTGTGTCATCACTGATGCTATTGCAAATGCCTAGATATTCCATGGGGAGGGAAAAAGAAGTACAATTAACCAATTATTAAGAAAAAATAAATTGCATGTTAATATGCAGGTAATTTGTAAGTAACAAACATCTCTAGCAAGCTGAATAGACATTACTAAGAATGGTTATCATAAAAGTAGATTTAAAAGTTTTTCAACCCATTGTATTTATTCTGAAACTGGTCCTCTAAATGAAAAATGAAAGTATTTATTAAGTATTAATTAAAATCTTATAATTAATTTTATACTTCATGCTATTAGTTAGGAATTTATAGATGACATTGTTTAGTATTTATTTTCTTGGTCAAGCACTTTACCTTTGCTGTTGTCATCATTCTTATTGTTGCCAAGGTCAGTTGAAGGCAACAACTGAGGCAACGGTATATGCTGGCATTGCCAGGCCTGCCCCTCTGATCTGACTTCCATATGATGCCCTTTCTTCCCTGGTGTCACAAACACTGCATTTCTCCTTATCATTTAACAGAGTGCAAGTCCTTGGAAATTTCTCCCAAATAATTTGACAGTTCCTTTCTGAAATCCAAACTTCACCAAAAAATAACTAGCAGTATTATATAGCAGATCCAACAAGACTTGTAAAAATACATTAGCTTAAAACGCTAGAAAAACAAAAAGCTGTTGTGAAACCAATGACACACTTCAGAACCTAAACTTTGCCCTTTTCCCCTCCCTTCACAGCACACTGCTGACAGGCCATGTTTCAGGTGGCATCGGATCCCCATACATCAACTCTGATGCCTTGGAAAAGTAGAGGATACAAAGGAAAAAATTACAATAGGTTATTGAAAAATCTAGAATCCTGCAAGAACCAATTTTGGTCTAAGGAAAGTTAAGATGATGTCTCTTAGCATTTGCAAGAGTATTTAGTGCCATCTTATAGTTGTACCAGGTATGAATTCTATAGTCACAAACACACACAATTCAGGTACATTTAAAATAGCAGCACGATTTTTCTCAAGCTATGTGATTCATCATGGAGCTTCCATGTTCATTTTGGTGTGATTTTTTTAAATCACAGAATTTATTTCACAACCCAATAACTCCAATAAGAAAATGAACTTGAGATATTTCACACCAGGTCATCTTGTTTGCTGCTTTGGCTCTGTTTATTTGAATAAAGAGGATTAGAGAAGATTTTTTATTCATAGTGAATAGGAGAATGATTTTTAAATCCCTCTTTGTAGGAATAAGACATTGTTAGGTTAAAGGTTAATTCTTTAGTAACTAAGAGTTTGAGATTTTTTTCCCAAAAATGAAAATTTATTTTTTAATTTAATTTTGCAGTTTGACTTTAAGATATTTTCAGGAACCCTTTTTTTGTGTGTCTTAAATCTAACAAAGTATAATTTCAGGAAATATTATTTGACTTCAATGTGGTGAATGATGAGTAGGGACATTAGCTTTCTTTATTATGTAACTTTTTAATATGTACATTATTATTTTGCAAAGAAGCAAATCAAGGCTTTGACATCAAAAGATTTACCTAAGGTATAAAACCAAGATGTTCTTCAAGAATCATCTGATTAATACACTTTAATCAATAAACACATAAGAAAATAAGTAAGGACATTTAACATTACATTATAATATTTTATATATATATATATATATATATATATACACACTCTGATATCAAGAAACATATTTTAAAGTAGGTGTTAAAGAAATAATACACAAAGTTGACTTGTGCTAATATTTAGTTCTTATATGCATTTTATATAAAAGGTAGCATAAAATGAAATGAAAAATTTTCAGTGTGGCCAAAAGCCTAAATGCTAAAAATGAGCACTGGTTAGCTGACTACATCTGTACCACATGGAAGTGGGAAATGAGCCCAGAAGAGATAGTGGACTTTGATGCTTTGTGGACCTGTGGCCATTAGCATGTGTGCCACATTTCCATACTGGATCACTGTGGACCAAAAGATGGAATGTAATAATTGGACAGAGTTAGGCCACATGACTCTCCCTAGAGCTGATGAGGAATTAACTGCCTAAACCACGTGGACTACCACTGGGAAAGAAGTGGTTGGGTTCCCTGAAATGCAAATAGGGTGTGCTACCCTTAAGGAGCACACTGGGCAGATAAAAACAGCAGAACCCACTACAACTGGGTCAGAAATCAACAATTCATCATTACTGTTTACCTAAACTTAAGAAACCATTTAACCTATTTAATCAGTTCTACCCCCGAGTTTTTTAAGATTGTGTATATTAGTTTTTGCCCACTAAACTTTGGTTGACCTGAACTAATGAAAAGTGATAATTGGCATTTACACCAAATAATTTCAAACCATTAATTGGTCTAGAAGTGAGATTCAGAACATTGGTCCTAGACATTCTTACTCTTTATCACTTAATTTTCCAAGTAGATTTTTAAAAACCATTATTTTCTCAGCACCATTTCTCTTCATTAAGTAGAAATCATAAGTAATAATGACTTTTCATTGATGTCTATTATGCATCCATAATTTTTAAAAATGCTGGCATAGTATGATGCTTAAGCCAGTTAATCTCAGGCCTGTCACTTGACCTGCTTGACATTCAGGTTCCTCCTCTATAAAGTGGGATGATAACAACACGAGCAGATCTGGGTGTTCTTCCCATATCTCTTGGCACTTGTTATTCCAACAATGTTAGCAGCAGCCTCTGCAATTCTCCAGGACCTTCTCTCAGTCCAGCACAGGCAACCTACATGTGCCCAGGACTCCATGGCCCCAGGAGTGGTTTTCATTCAGGAAGTAGTACCTCATGTTCCTTGCCTCTTATGTGGGACATTTTCTATTCATTTTCTCCACTTTCTCCTGGAATTCGTCAGTGCAATTTAGACTTAGTTGCCCACAACTGTATCCTGATTGATCATGTTCCTTTCATTAGCTCTTTCCTTCCCTTTCCATTTCTCCACTCCCCTACAGTTATTTTTTTAGAGTAACCTCTGAAATAAACTATGTTTACTCAAATTTTTGTCTCAAAACCTACTTTTACAAGAAACCAAACAAAGACGAGCACTTTTATAAATGGCCCTCACAAAATCAAAAGTGAAAGATGGGTCAGGTCCCCGAAGCTGAGCATTGAGAGAACAAATGTAAAGAATAAATGCCTACAGCTCATCCCTTCTGACCTATCACGTAACTGCCTTGTTGGCACTGTGCATCCCTGGCTGGTGGCCTCAAATCATGGCATCTCCAGTCCATAAGGGTCTTAGCTATTTAGCCCAAACTCAGGTCACAGAAGAGGCCGCATTTTTCGTGTCCCAGGGTACAGTCCTCCCCACTACTCCAGACTTCTGCTTGGGCCCCTCCACCAAGACTTGCTGAGAAAAGAGATGCAAGGCCAGCTATTTAGAAGATAGCAGTTTCATCCATAGCAGTGGTTTTTAGTCTTGTCCTTGACATGGCATCCTTGTATTTGTGTTTGTTTCTTCCAACAAAGTCTCACAAGAAAGGCCAATGTGTAGGAAAAATCTTTAGGAACACTCTATTAGTTTAACACAGGGAGCCTGGAGTGTAGCTGCTGATGGCTGCCCTGTTCCTGTCTCCTCTCCTGCCCCGCCCCGTTCTCTGCAGGAACTTCTGCTACAACCCCCAGGATTCAGAATGCACAGTTTAAAAACCACTCAACTAGAGGAAATATTGACTGGTTCAGAGGTCTGCTTCACAATTAAGGTGGCATCCATTTAAATAGTTTTAAATAGATTCCCTGCAAAAAATAAAAGAACTAAAATGAATGAACGAAGTAAACTTAAATGCAATAGATTTTCTTCCTAATAGACAAAGACAGATGAAAACTGTATGAGGTAGGCAATTCTCTTTGTGCATTAATTGAGTTACTACACTAAGAAAGCTGCCGAAAAGCCACTCGAGTATTTTATTGATTAAGATCCCATTTAAAATCTACCTATTGACTTTGTAGTTTCTGTGGAAAGTCACAGAAGAATGACATTATTACCTGTGACTATATTTCAAGCTACTCTTAACTCTGTGTTTCATATGTTCGGAGATTTTTCTGAAGTATGAGAGATCAGCCAAAATGAAACAAACACATTTTTTTTCAAGATAGCTATTATGAATCCACTGATCATTAGCTGACTTGGTAACTCCCTTCACTTTCCCTCCTTGATTGCATTTCCTCCTTTCCCAAGAAGCAGGACTTGATCTGAGGAGATGCAAATGCCTGGCCCAGAAGTCTTGTTTACTTTATTCCTCTAGCCTTTTTCTTCAGTCATCTCAAAGTCACGACCATGTCCATTCACAGCCAAAATGGCCTCTTTAAT